CTTTACAATAAATAGTAATTTTAATTTATTTTTATATTATTTATAAGGAAAAGTATGGATTTTTAGATGATTTTACAGAGTAATTTATGTGATAACATTTGGTAAACTATAAGAATATGATTTACTTGTAAGATATTAACATATCATCAGTTCTCAGTTAGGAAATTTTAGTATTCTAGTTACTGTAATATTTATTTGCCTGTGATCCTCTGAATAAAAAAAGAGTACCTTATTGTTTTATTAGAGATCCTTTGAATATTACTGAGAAGTTAAGAGTAGTCAGTTGTAATGTGTATTATTTGCTTATTTCTTGTACCAAAATTATAATCAGTTTTATATAAATGCATTAAAACACTTCATACAAAAATTTGTTTTGTGCAATTAAGTAATTAATTCCTAATGAATCTTGAAGGAAATCTGGTATTTTAAAATTTTCTTCCTAGAAAATATAAGTCCAGAAGAAGAATATAAAATTGCCTGCCTCCTCATGGTCTTTGTGGCAGTTTCTTTGCCAACACTGGCCAGCAATGTGATGTCTCAATATAGCCCTGCTATAGAAGGTAATAGTAGTTTAAAATTATTTTGGCAAAAGTTCATGATGTTTTGATGCAGATGATATTTTTATTTGATCTTGTTCATTTATAATAAAATGTGTCTTAAATTCTGTCACTTAAATAGAAAATTATATAACCTTGTGTAGCCTAAGTCCCAATTTCCTGACATGCTATATATCGTATATAATGAATAATTATTTATTTGAGCTTGTAGTTTGTCTGAATGTGTGTATGGCAGGGGAGGATGAGAGAATGTCCACCTCTTAGGATTTTTTTTTAACATAACTTGGCAATTTTAGGATTATTTTAATGATTGAATGAGAAAATATTTGTAAAGCAGCTAAGCATTTCTTTGTTTCTATAATAAGAATGTATGATCTCTTTTAGGATTTTTGAAAATGTACCTGTTCAACACAAACATAATCCTTTGTACTCTCTTGGAGTACTGTTTTTCAGAGCACACTTGTAATGAAAGTAAAAGAAGAGTAAGGCAGGTTATGCCCCAACTCTGCTTTTAATCATGCCACTATTTACGTAGATTATCCAAACATTAAAGATTTACCTTCAGTATTATTTGATATTTTGGGGTCATATAGAAACCGTAAACCTTATCTGTACTTCCTCAGGGCACTGCAACAACATACATTGCTTGGCCAAAGCCATTAACCAGATAGCCGCAGCTTTGTTCACAATTCACAAAGGAAGCATTGAAGACCGCCTTAAAGAATTTCTGGCCGTATGTATAATCAAATAGCAAAACTTGTGACATTTTATAAAAAATATGAAAATACAACTGTGGGATATAACAGAATAATCCCTCCCTCCTTCCTTTTCTTTTTTAGAAACAGATGAAAACATGACGTTAAAATCAAGAATAATTTAGTTTAGAATTTTCTTCCCTTGAGTTAGAAGTCTCATTTCTAGAGGCTCTGCAACAGGACTTGTTTTTTCGCTTAGTAGATGACAGGACTGCCCTACAGTTTTGCCTAGAGCTTACTACTTTGAGTAAAAGCAAAGCAGAGGAAAATTGAGAGATTGTTTTCACTAAAAGGATAAATTTTACTTGTATTTATTTGGAGAAGGACTATTAATTGTGGAAAAGCTCAAAAATAAGAATGCTGCTTATGCCAAAAGAGGGTAGTAGTAGTATGCTAACTCTAGCTGCATGAAGTGTGGTTCTTAGTTTCTATGTAAATATAGCTTTTTCTTCCTTTATGAATGTACCTTTTTCCTTATTTTATATAAAGGTAATAATTCTTCTATGGCATAATGAACAATAGAATTTTTCCTCCTTTTATGCTATAAATGCTGTTAGCCTTTTAAGTTTTAATTTTTTTTAGTTTTTTTGAAGATTTATTTATGCATACAGAACTGGGGTACAGGCCAGAGATGCAGGGGTAGTGAGAGGATTCACCAGAGACAGAGTGGGGAGCAGAACAGGCAGGCTGACAGAGTACACCACTGAGGGGAGAAGTGGGCAGGTCAGGAGAGCTGCCACGCTATGTGGATCACCTCCAGGGCCAGGGATCGAACTCATACTGAAGTGGCTTTAGCTCCTTATTGCCATGTTTTAACCCACTGTGCCACCAGGGAAGGCCTTTTTTTTTTTTTAATTTTTAAAGAAAATGTGATAATAGGGGAAATGACTCCTATTTCAGGTAAAACAACATTAAGATTGAAAACTTTATTTTCACTTCTTTTATTTCCTTGATTCATTAATTCAAACTCAGTGTGAACTTTTCTTATTTGAGAAATAAGATATAATTAATATAGATATTGGAAAGATGATTTAAAGTAATTTAAATCATCAAACAAAAGGTATGCAAAAAGTTTTAAAGCCTAGTAAGAATATCTGATTATTTATTAATTTCTTGTCTGGTACTTTAATATGCTCCAAATTATTGCTAGAATGTAAAGAATCTAAGCTTATGTTTGTTATTTAATTGCTTATTATTTATATATAACTGCTATATGATTGAAACGTGAAGTTAAGGAATATTGAAAATAAGTAGGTAGCTGTTGAACATTTCATTTTAAAAAAAACTTATTTAAAATTTATGTACTCTTAAGCTTGCATCCTCTAGTCTACTGAAAATTGGCCAGGAAACAGATAAAACAACAACAAGAAATAGAGAATCTGTTTATTTACTGCTGGATATGGTAAGTCTCATTTTAATTTTGACTAGTAATAAATGTCTGTCATTCCTAAGTCTGTCATTTTACCAATCAGATAACAGTGAGCTCTGCCAAGTATTTTTTTTTATTTTACAAAAGTTTATTTTTACATCATTTTGTACATTTTTTTTCCATCTTAATTGTAATCCCCGTGGTTTCCCATCACCAAGTCACCCGTGTGCCATCACCATAATCCCGTGCATTTCCCACTCCACCCCTGCAAAATGTCTCTGGTATATGGTTGTTCATTATTCTGCCAAGTATTTTTTGGTTCATTCTACCCATATCACATACTGCCTCGCAATTTCTGAAAAGACTGTCATCACTTTTATTTTATCATTATGGTAATGATAGCAGAAACAAATAAAAGATTAGCATTACCTATAGGGTATTCTTTTATAACTGGCTTTCAGTCAGTTGAGAAACATTTAAACCTTATGTTTTCTTAGCGTATCTGTTTCAGGTCATCCAGTTTTATGAGTTTTCTGTGTTCTAACTCCATCCCATTATCTAATAAGCTTCCCATAATTGTGTGTGCCTGATAATCAGTTCTTACCACCATTCATGAACTAGGTATGCTGGTTTATCCCTTATGATTCTCCCCTTGCCTATAACATTTCCTTTACCTATAGAGATCTATGTCTATCTTAATGACAGTTCACACATCCCAAAATCAAGTCTTTTCTTAGATATGCTCAGACTACTGTTCATCTTTCTTCCCCTTTAAACTCCAAGAACTTAAGCTTTGCATTTAGTTGGCCTTACGTTTGCTTTTGTTACCTAGCTTAGTCTTGGGTCTCTAATTAAACTTGATGGGATGGACCACATTTTAAATATGCTTATATTCTCTTTTATGTCAAATGATTGAGGATGGTGAAAGCACTCAGTATGCTCCTGTTGGTTGATTTAATTAAAAAGTAACAGTTTTTTTGATGACATGTACTATGGCACTGTTACACTTTAGATTTTAAAGAGTAAATAATGTCTATCTGTTTCTAATAAGAACACTTTAGAAATTATGGTCTGCTGGTTGTCACTAATTGTTCCCATTATAAATAACGAATTCTGATGCATTTTTGGAATTTTTCAGATTGTTCAGGAATCCCCATTCCTGACAATGGATCTTTTGGAATCTTGTTTTCCTTATGTCTTGCTGAGAAATGCATACCATGCTGTCTACAAGCAAAGTGTTACATCGTCTGCATAAAATTACCTACTTACTGAAGACAAGCACGCATTATTGTTGCCTCAGTTTTACCTGTAAACTGTGGAACTGTTTTACCTATGGCCTGAGAAACAGTTTAGTGGATTATAAATTTCTTTTCATACAGTTGTATTTTCTGATTATTGGTTTCTTAATATGATTGTACTACAGTATACTTTATTGAATTAGGTTGCACATTCACTGAATCCACAGAAATTATTCCTATAATTTTAAAATACCATTTGTTTGGGAAACATAGATTATCTCTATGTTTTTGATATTTGATAATGAAAAAAACTGCTTGTTTATTTCTGAAAAAATAATTGTATTTAGTGATTATTTTAGATAGTGGTATTATAGCATTCATCTGTGTGTAAATTATTTCATCTAGGGAAGAGTTCTGATCTGTACCTATGGTTCTTAATGAAAACAAAATTGGATGTGCATTTCTGTGCTGTTATGAATACATTTCTACTTTATTTTGAAACATTTGCCAAACTAAATACTATGACACTGTATAACATTAAAAATGTTAAAGAACTGCTTAGCATTAGAAGCAGACTATGTCCCAAAATTCTAAAACAGCAGCATATGTTGTTGCTTATATAAAGCCTAGTGATAATTTTTAGACTAACTTCCATGGTGCCCTATTGGCATTAGCACTACCATTGTATCCTGCTGTATAATAAACAATCTAGACATTTATCAACTGTTGATACAAATGTTAGTCCCTAACCACTTTTTATATGTTTTAAATTTTTGAAATTCAAGTGTACCTGCCATAACATAAAATAAACACTAGACTGTATCACATTTTGAATGATTTCTTTAATTTGGGATCCTCAGAGATTTGGTCAATAATAAGGAAAGTTTTAGTTTAAAATAAACTTTAAAGTGTAGCATTTGATACCAGATCAGCTATTACAAGATTTGTTGAAATGTTTTGAAAAACATTCCACTGGAAAAAATATTAGAAAATAAAATTACATAATATTTTTTAAAAATATAAAACTAAAGGAAACTTTGCACTATTATTAGCTTTTTAATTGTATCTTTGACCAAATGGGCAGAGAGAATGATGATGGAACTAGTGAAAAAGTTGTTGAGAATTACTACTTCAGTAAATAATGAATTGGGAAGTCACAAAGGGCCTATTGCTTGGTGATTGGCATGGAGGGGAGAGTAGCTCATTTAGTTTGAAAATTAACCAGATGTTTTGCTCTTTGGCACTTAAAGACTGTTTCTCAACAACTTTGTATCTAGAGGGTCTATATTCCAGTCATGGGCTTCTTAGTAGCATTGGTAATTTGTTGTTAGGATAAAAGAAAGTTGCTGTGAACTCAGTTGCAATGTTTTTTTTTTGTTCAGATACAGAGAATGCAGTGAAAATAAGTTACCACAAGATTATCATACTGCTATTTTGTATATGTTTTTCCTAGCCTGCTTTTAAAGGAGGAAATAGTTGTCATTAGCTGTTGAAAATTTTCAGTGTTTCCATGAAGATATTTTTTAAGGGAAGAAATTTTTAAGTGAAATAATTTCAAACTTGAAATAGCTTGGTTATATAGGGGACAGTTGAAACTAAGGTTAAATGCTGTTTGCTTGAAATTACTTGAATTCTAGAATGTTAATAGCTTGATGGTAATGATAACCCTGAGAGATAAAGCAGGCTTTGGAGTGTGTGCACTTTGGTATAACATATGGAAGAGCTTATGGATGTACATAAGCAATTCTTTACTCCTATTTAGGCCAAGAAAAGATCACTCTTTAAAAGTTAAGAGTTGTTAGTCACAAACTAACTGACTGTAGACAATTTGATTATTATTTACATTGAATTTTTCTACAAAGAAAAAAAAATGGTGAAGGTAACTTAGAGAGAAGCATTTAAAAAAGTTAAAAGTAAATTCACAACTTTTATATTTATTTATTTATTTATTTATTTAACTCTTACTTTCTTACACCTAACCTTACACTACAGTGTCCTGTTTTCACTGATTGTGACCCTACTATATACTGTGTTTGTCTATAATGCACTAATTTTACTCAATACTAGGAAGAGGTCTTTGATACTCTTAAATGCCTCCATATGTACCAAAACTAACAACAATTTCACTTAGATTAACTTTTAGGCACTTACATATTTTTCACTATTGTAAATATATCTGTATCTTGGTGAACTTGATTTATTATCTCCTTAGGGTAATTTCTCAAAAATTACCCTTTTTAGTGAAAGGTTGTACACATTTTAAATTTTGTTGCATATTCTTAGATTTCTCTCCAGTAAGATTATATCAGTTTTACTCCTGCTTTTGTGTGAGCATAGTTTTGTCACTATGCTAAGGTATCTTTGTCTATCCAAAAGATGAAACATGTAAATTTGCATATCTTTACTTATTATTTAGGTAGAATACTTTTTTTTAATATCATCTTTGAGTCTGGGGGATGCCTTGAGGTCCACCTTTATTTTGTTAGCTCCCATGCACATCCTACATACCTGAAGTGGAAAAGGTGAGATAACTGGAGAGCTGCTGGGTAAGATACCCTTTGTTTCATGTTGGGAGCAAATAGTTGTTTTTCTCTTTATACTTGTGTAGGGGCAGCATATTATGAGCAATAGAAAAGATGGGGATTCCCAGTACTGGAATGCAGTTAGCACAATGCTGACTAAGAAATAGTTGTATTTCCCCCAGTGAGGTGATTCACATGTCTGGGGTATTGGGGGGGGGCGGATTGTAGAAGCTGAGCTTCTTAGATAAATAGGTTTAAGAATTGAGGGTATTGGTGAGAGATCAGAGAGGGTTCCATGTTACAGAAAAATTATTTTTTTTAAATGGGTTCAAGAAGGTAGAGGTGTGGGGGTAGGATTGGGGGTGAAGAAGGGCAGAAATTACAGTGCAGGTCACTGCCCTAAAATAGAGAAATGATCTTTTCAATTTGGTGACTCACCTCTAACTAGAGTCACTACAGGAGCTTTGGGACATGTAACCTTAATCTTAGCCCCCCCTTGCAGAATACCTCTCATATTAAAACTGGCCTGATGATCTCGTGTCACCAACCACAACAGTTAGACCTTGAAATGTTATCCAATCAGTGGAACTTCTCATTTGTTCTCAAGACTGCACTGGCATTTCCTTTGGCAGCTGATCACACAGTAAGGACCGACTAGGCTTATAGGCTTTCAGGATACCAGCACATCCTTGGAGAATAAATGTCTCCTCTGCTGGAGGTCATAGCTTCCAGAAAGTGATTAGAGGAAGCAACTGATGACCTTTGTAGTGAGTTCTGCTATTCCTGTCACAACCAAGCCCAAGTCTAAGGATTGCTGTCAAGTGAACTAATACTATGACTCTAGCCTGAAGGATAAATCAGTCAAGTCCATTTGCTTTCTTCAGCCATCAGCCATATTTCTAGAAAAGCATTTGCATTCTGTACAAAACGTTATAATTGGAAGGTAGATGTGATGTTTAGAGAACAACTTTTAAACCACCCTATATAAAAATCTATTGGAGGACCTCTGCTTGACTTAAATAGTAACATCATTGTATCTTTTCCTAAAAGTATACAGACAGGTGATTCCATTGTGTGGAGGGGAGGGAGATCTTGAGGGTACCTGTATTCCTGGAAGGAACACCCAGGGAGAGATACAGTATGTACTGACTTGCCACATTTGGTTTTGGTATTGATGTTCATTACCAAATGTGAATTAATGAAAGAGAAGAGAGGGACCAAATAGATCCCTCCGTATGAACAAAGAGAAAAATACTGGTTCCCAACGAAACCAAGGGCATATCTACCACTGAGTTTCTGTGACATCTGTCCAGTCATTAACCTTTTCGACCTCATAGCATGTTTTCTGAGGGGGCTGTTTATTACAGGAGGGTTTGTTTTTAATAATGAAAGCCTTCATGATATTTTTAAAATACTAAAGGAAAAGAGAATAAGGTCTTGTGGCACTTTTAAAATGTGTCATATCTGCAAAGACATTAATAGTGACTCAATTTATTTTTAAAAGATTGAATTGATACAAGTTTGCAGTTTAAAAGCAATGCTTGAATAGTGAAGTTAAACATAAATGTCCAACTTTAATTCTACTTATGCTGGAAGTTTTGAATATCCAGAAGTCTAAAGCTTCCAGCATTTATTCATTTCCCTTCCACATCCCACACTAATTATAAAGTTTAAGTAACATCACATCCTAGTATTCAATTAAAAAATACTTAGTATGTACCAACTACTGGTAGAGAATGTTAACAAATCAAAAAACATTTGAACTAGTCTTGCCCCACTATCTGCTCTATGCACAGCGTCAAGTGGGGATGAATTCCTAACATGGGTTCCCCAGTTGGACACTAATTCTAATAGATGACTGTTTCTTAGTAATAGCTGATTAAGTGACAGAGGAACTTAATTCCAGGGTATTGAATCTGGTTGGTGACTTGAAAATGATGGCTGTCTTTATTATACTTTTCTCAGGTAAATTAGAACTAAAGCTCAAGTTGTCATGGCTACTAAAACTGGAAATCTCAGGCAGTTGGCTTTGGGGCAGCCATTTAATAGTTTCCTGTATTCCCAGAATACGAGGAAGGAGAGTAGGAGAGAAAGCTGGTCAGGTGAAGGATGAGTTTGATGTACAGGAAAAAGCAAGGAAGCATAAGGATAAGAATGAGAAGATACTCCTACTATTTCTTAATGAATTTGCTAAGATTCATACTTCTGGCAACCTAAGGATCCTGTGTAAGAAGACCAATAAATGTTGAATAAATAAATACACAGGCATTATGCCCTAAATGCTTGGTGTGTGTGCCAAACAGATGTGGTCACTGCCCTCCATCACAGCGATCACAGTATGATGGAGGAGAAAGATTACATATTTGGTCATGATGCATATTTCAGTCATGTGATGCAGGAGGCAAATGGTAAAACAGACTTCAGCATGGTGGTAGAAGAGCTGAACAGAGGGTTTATGCAAAAGCTTCACTATTATTGATCATGGCCAATGGATATGTGAATGCACTAGAAAATTATAGCAAATAAACTGCACTTAACTGAAATTCAACTTTGGCTGGATTTTTTCCCTTTTCTCTCTCCTTCCTAAAGGTACCCATAATATTCTCTAACCAGTGGCTTCCTTCCTCCCACTTTTTTTTTGAAATCTGACTATACCATTATATTAGTGTTCATATTTTAATTTGGCGCAAAACATGCATAACAAAAATAGATGGTGGGGAGCCATAAAAAGGGTCCGAAATGGGCAGGCAAGTCTGGGAGGAAAAGGACACAATCAAAATCAATATAAACACCGCCATAGTCAACCTCCCCACAGATCCCTCACCCACATCTGTTTCACCAGCCCAGGGCCAAGAAACAAACACGGTTTCTTCACATCCTTGCTGCTCCATGTCGCTTCTTCAGGTCTCCTGGCTCTCCATCCTGCTTCCTTCCTCAGACTCCTCTCCAGATTCCTCTCTTCTCTGCTCAGTTCCACACTCCTCCTGGGTGGGGCAGGGAACCTGGAGCCTCTCCTTTTCCTCAAGGAGATCCACCCTGTTACACTTTGAGTCAAATAAAAAGTGAAAGTATGTTGAAGTCATTCAAATGCCAGCTACAGAGATTCCTTCTAAGTTACTGGAATCAAAGAGAAGCAAGGGAAAAAAAGACAAGCTTAGATCACAGCTTACAAAAACACTGGCATATGTCTGTCTGTTGTGGCATAAAGTAACTTGCCCAAACTGCTACACAGTGGTCCTAAAATTTCTATCAGGAAATAACATACAAGAGTAAAATTTATGACTTAGTACCCTGTCATAATTAGTCTCCCTTGCTGGTCTCCTCAGGAAATACTGTCTGATACAATAATGGCAACTATGTTGAAATTTTTTAGTTTTTGCAATCTTTATTTCCCTCAATTAATTTTCTCCTCAAAGCAGAGAAATCATTTGAGGTCTCAGTATCTAATTTTAACCACTAGTTGCTAGAAATTCACTTCAGGAAAATGTTTTTCTTAGGATTATCCAAGAAGCTCATTTTGAACCTCATATTAGCTCCTAAATCCATTCCTAGTACCACCAATCAACTAAAAATGTAGGATATAAAGTTTTTTCTTTCTAGTCAAGTTATTTATAATTTGGTGCTCTGTGTCCTAAATGTGTTCTCAGGAAGAAATTGGCTTTAAGAGTTGTTTTTCACTTGAACAGCAACACAAAAGAAGAAACCTAAGTGAATAACTTATGAATAGATAAACAAAATGTGGTATTAACTAGAATGAAACCATATTCAGTATTTCAATAAGGTAGAAAATTTTGACAGAAGCTACATATAACAGTTAAATCTCCAAGACATGTGCTAGTGAAATAAGTCAAGCACAGAAGGTTATTGTGTTAATTCTCATGAAATTCCTGTAGAAATCAAATTCAGAGAAACAAATCCTAATGCTGATTGCCAAGGGCTAGATGGCAGAGAGGATAGAGAATAAGATTTAATGACTACAGTTTCAGTTTCAGTCAGAAAACATCAATATTCTGCAAATGATGGTGATGGTTGCACAGCAATATGAGTATAATCAATAACCCCAAGCTGTACACTTAAAGATGATTGAAACTATAAACTTTTATGTATCTATATTTACCACAATTTTTAAAAGCATTAAAAATACTCTCTAGAAGTGAGATATTCCTCCAATCCAGAAACCTCTCTATGCATATATATAAACATGTGTACCTAAAATTATATATGTGTAAATGTGTGCATATGTGTGTATATACATGAGTGTATTTTAACAACATATTTGACACGAGCTTTCTTTATCTTTCAGACCTATTCCTTTTGGTGATGTCAAAATACCTTAAAACAGCCTGTTTTTTTAGTTTTCCTAATGTACATTCCTATTGTATATTCTTTTGCCCTTTTTTTCTTTAATCCAATAGTGAAACAGAACATCAAAGTATACATCGTTGAGCATTTGGGTCAATACTTATGCTTCAAAATTATGAGAAAGATGACCTTTAGGTAAAAGAGCATGTGTTTTAATATGGTAGATATTGTTACCACATTTCCATCCAAAACGTCTGCACCAATTTACACTTTTACCTACAGTGTGCAAATGCCTGTTTTATGTTTTTTTTTTTTTAGCCTGTCAATTTGATGGATTAAAAACTAGTGTCTGAGGTTGGATATCTTTTATATGTAAATTGATTTGTAAGCACTTTTTCTACAGATTAACAAAATTGGTTTTTTTCACCTATCATGTTTGGCAAATGCTTTCTAAATTTATCATTTCTTTTTATGCTTTTAAAAAAA